GGTGCCGGTGGCAGCGCTGTGGGCACAGATCTGCCCACTCCATTTGCTTGGAACAGCACGTGTTGGGGATACACTATCCCATCCAGAAAGGCACCTTGGGCTTAATTTACATTTATTGTAAATTAATGTAAATTAATTGTAAACAGACACCTGTTTTCCACTTAAGATCTGCAGGAAGAAAACCTGCGCCTTTGCGGCCCCCTAACCTGTCTATTTTTGGCTAGTAGCGGCCCTGCGTGGGGCTGTGTCTCCCCATGCGTGTACCAGAGGGGCCGCTGTCCCCCTCAGTTCAGGGTGTGACTACAGGGACGTGGTACAGAGATAATAATTTGTTCACTTTTCCTTCCCTCCAGCTGATAGACCGAGCCACCAGCCCTCGCGATGAAGATGATCCCAAAGCTGAGCAGAAGACCGTGGAGGAGAGCTGGCAGGACTTGGCCTTGATCAAGGCGACGCCAAAACCTCCCAAAAAGCAGAGAAGGGAAGACCTCAGCGAGCCCCTGCTCTCTCCAGCTCGGCCGCCGGTGCCAGGTGAGGCTCACGGTGCGTGCGCTGGCTTCTGCCGCAGCCAGGAAGATCACCTTGGTGTGCTCCGGGCCGGCTGTGCCACTATTCCCGGCGATCTGGGAGCTCCGTGTTATTTTTAGCTCAGTGACCGGAAAGCCGACCCGATTGAGCCTGCCCTCCTGGGAGGCTCCCAAGCCATGGCCCCTTTTTAGGCAATGCCTGCGGTAACGGCACCTCCGACACCATCCTGGGCGCCTCGGCCGCTGCGGTGTGGTGGAGGCTGTCGGGGCTCTCTTTCCTCCGGAGCGGTGCCTGTGCTTGTTTTCTGGGTCAGCTCTGTCTAGAGGAAGGTGCGCTCGGGAGCTGCCGCAGACAAAGGCTGCTTTGTCCGGCTGCCTACAAAGACGGCATTTTTCCAAGTGGGAAAGCAGCCCAGCTCAGTGCAGGGCAGGTCCTGAGATACCGGGCCCGGAGTGGGATTGTTCGCAGGACTCGGAGCGATCAGGCAGGCGTCAGGACAGGCTGGGTCTGCCTGAGCAGTCTAGTGGGGCTGAGATTTGTAGGGACCCTGGCAGCAAGTCCCTTGCCCGGCTGCCGGGGCGTAGCCTTGTTTATTCATCTCTAGCTGGGGCGTGAGGCCGGGCGCTGTCAGGTTTTGAGGTTAGTTCGGGCTCTGCCTTGGCCGAGAAGCGCTGTTAACGTCGGAGGACAAGTGTTCAAAAAATGGGCAGATGT